CACACACACACACACACACACACACACTCATACACACACGCACACAAACACAGATCCCCACACAAACAGAAATCAAAGTAAATAAGCAAAAGACTAATAAGACAAAAAACTGCCCCAAAACAAAATGAGACAAAAACTCTGCAAAAATACCACTGAGTTTTGTGTTGGCCAACTGCTCCTGGGCACGGGGCCTACCCTAAAGTACGGTTAATGTGCCCACTAAGACTCCATTAGAGAAAAGTGATTTGTATCAACTATAGAAAGCCTCTCAGCTAGGGATGGAAGCCGCATCTCCTCTCAGAGCTGGGATCCTCATCTGGCTTGAACCTCTGGAGGCCCTATGTGTGCTACTACATTCTCTGTGGGCTCATATGTGCATCTGTCCTATTGTGTTTGGAAGACACTGTTTCCTTGGAGTCATTCATCACCTCTGGCTTCTATAATCTTTGCCTCTTCTTCCACATAGATCCCTGAGCTTTGAGAGGAGGGCTTTCACAAAAAATGTCTTATTAAGGATGGAGTTCTCCAAAGTTTCTACTCTCTGCCCATTGTCCAGTTGTGGGTCTCTATGTTAGTTCCCATCTGCTTCAGGAAGAGGCTTCTCTAATGAGGATTAAGCAAAGTACTATATGACTATAGCATATGTCATTAGGAATTGTTTTATTGCTTTGCTCCTTTAGCATAAGAATAGTAGTAGGTTTTCTCCTGGGCTCATGATTTATCTAGTCGCAGGTTCTTGGCCCTTTGGGTAGTGCCGTGCTTGGGTTCTAGCTCATGGAGTGGGCCTTAGACCTAATCAAAAGTGGTTGGTTATTCCCACAACATTTGTGCCACCATTTCACCAGTCCACCTTGCAGGCAGGTGGTGTCTACAGTAGTAAGTCTCTATGTTGTTTTTCAAATGGCTGCTGTTAGTTGTCCCTCCCTGTATTCCCCTTTACCTCCCTTGTCCATACCCCTCCCTATTTAATCCTCCTAGTCTAATTTTCCCTCTGTCTCTCCATTACAATATACAGCACTCAGTCTCATCGGTTGCCTGTTGAAAGACTGAATATCCAAATAAGTTCACATTCTGAAGTATTAGGGCTTAGGACCTCTGCATTTGATATAACATATTATAGCATTTAACTAAAGAATATGTGATCACTACAAGGCTGATATAGTCCAAAGACAAACTTCGCTTAAATAATAAAAAAGTTTTCTTGCTCATTCTCATTGAGCATTCATTATGTATCAGGAACTTTTGCAGACACTATGTCTTGAAAGAGAATTAAAATTGAGTTAATTTCAATGTCATTATGTCATAGCCTGCTTTAGTGAGAGAGACAAAAAATATGTTATACCCACGGGGATCTGTGTTTATTATGATTCAGATCTGGAATTTCCCTCAAAGGCCCATATATTAAAGGCTTCATCCCTAACTTGGCACTATAAGCAATAGTAGAAAGTTTAGGAAGTGAGGTCACGTGATAATTTTATACTATTGAACCCAAACTCCCACCTGGCTGCCAAAATATTGGGGTTTTATTTGATTTATTTCTCTTCTCTAAGCTGTCTGATTTCTTTTTCTAATGATGACTGAAGACAATGGAAGTGATTTTAACTATCTCTCACTTTCAAAGGCAAATGTTGAAGAGTTTTGAAGTGGAAGATAAATGTTGGTAAGATGCCAACCTATTGGGGAAATTGAGTCTGGCTATGGCCTTGGTAAACCTGCTTTCCTTTCTTTTAGGGACTAAGTGTCCTGGTCCAGGTTTCAGCTTTAAATGCAGCCTAAACAATAAGAAAGGAGAAAAGAAACAAAGGAAAGGAAGAAAGAAGGAAGGGAGGAAAGGAGGAAAGGAGGGAGGGAGGGAGGGAGGGAGGGA